TCGGATTAGAAGAAGTCCTTGAAGATCTCGCAAGACTTAGCCAAGCAAATGTGAGCTGTACGAATTTATTTGTTGATTTGTTCACAAAGCGAAATTTAAATGCCGTTAAAATGCTTATCAAAATTGTGTGTGGTTTTTTATATTAAATGAATGAACCTCATTAAGATCTTGTTCGTAATAATAGTGGCTGGCTAAAATAAAATTGAGCATTTAACCGAGAAATTGAAAAGGAGCAAAAGCCGAGATTTCGTTTTTTAAGCCTTAGCAGAATCAGGGAAGCTATCAGGCAGGCCGTAATCCATCGAGGCCCTCCTGCTTTCGACTTCATTCCTGCTTTCCCCCATTGCAGTTGCTGTGACCAAGGCAGATTCCAGATGAAACTTTCTCCACTCTAAGCTTCGCTGCTTTAGCGTTGACAACTGTTGTTGAAGGGAGATCGCTGAGTTACTACACATCCCCATTCTCAGCTGCTGCTGCAGGTAGACACCTCTCTCGTGATGTCATCGCGACATCTCTGAATGGCTACAGCGACTCAACCGACGTCTCATCAAGCAAAGTGTCGAATGATACTACCGTCGCCTCACTGAACACTGTGAGTATCGTACCAAGCGGCACCAAGACGTACGTTGCTGGTCTTCGTGATTCTGCTGAGGGCAACAACGTCTGCTATGCTTCTCTGATTTCACCATCGCATTTGCTTGTGGGAACATACTGTGTCTCGGGAAATATCCCCTGGGCTTCGGTCGGTTCACACTACGTCAATGGTACGCAAGACGGTGAGCAAATTAGGGTCATCGCGAAGCTCAATCACCCGAAAAGCTCAAACTCGAATTTTTCCCATGACTTTGCTGTTCTTGTTTTGGAGAAGCCCGGTTCATTTAAGCCGGTGGCGTTGGCTTCTGCGGATGAAAATCCGACGTCAAGGACGGCCAATTGGCTGCAAAAATGGGCTGGGGTGACACGGGAGGCGAAGGAAACACGTCCTATGAACTGACGCGAGAAGAAGTTCAGTTGATGAGCAACGAGAACTGCGAGAGAGAAACAAGAATTGATGATACCATGCTGTGCTCCGGAGTTACTCCCAATGTGACTTCATGTACGGGTGGCTATGGTGCTCCAGTGGTGGTGGAGCGTCCGAGTGGTGACGTATTGGTTGGAATCGTAAGTTGGGGCGATGACTGTGATAAACACGGGTATCCTAGCATTTACTCCCGTGTGTCGAGTGCGCGCGGCTGGGTCGATTCGTGTTAGTGGTACGTGCTTTCACTAAAATCAAGGTTGAAAAAAAACAAGTAAGATACGTAAATCGGTATTTTCCATTTACCCGTAAATTGGCAACGGAAAATTTTAAACTGAGAATAAAGAAGCACGGACCTCTCAACAAATTTTCGTTCAAGAATAGCAAAAAACGTCAATTCTGCATACTTCGTATTTATTAGACAAGTACACGATGTGGGGCAGTGGTAGAGATTGGCTTTGTTTCGAGAAGGTTCTGTTACAGCAGCACCAAGAACTATTTTTTTTTGTCGCAGAGACAATCTCTAGCCTTGCTACGGTCCAGCGCTTTATAATGGCGGACTGTTTGAGATATTTACATCTGGCTACATTTCTTAAACTGTCGCTGCAAGCGGAGCCGCGATGCTATCTCAATACTGTGTAGTATAGAAAGTAGGCAATGAAAGTGCAAAGGACATTATTATTGAACGGGTGCCGGACGCGTTTCGGCCCCCACCGGGGCCTTGTCAGCGGCTTAACAAATCGAAGAAATGGAAGCTACTTGTCTCCTTCGGTATGTTCCTACTTCAACCTTCTAGAACCTTCTAACGATATCCTCTACATGATATCTACTCTGGCGTCAACCTAACACTACCATATGTACAGTACCCAAGAAGATACTTCCAACATGTAGTACATTCACGATAGAAGTACCCAACAAGGTACTTCCAACATGTAGTACATTCACGATAGAAGCGAAGAAGCAACTTGTGGCCCGTTACGTTAGCCTGGATACTGACAAAGCTCAATGAGACGCGCTTGTTTCGGAGCTTGGAGCTGACAGCGGCTTTGTCAACTAAATGTGCTATTATGATGTATTCGCCAAGATCTACCAGCACGCGCATGGTATCATGCTACTGATCGACGCCCAAGTAGTAGAATTCATTGCCGCGACGAGTGCCGATGTTCTCTCAAGCATGAGCTCTCGAAACTTGGATGCGTGGAAGAAGCTGCCACGAGCTACACCGGTAGCCTCCAGGTCAGCTGTCCTTTTTATCAGTGGTAGACGTACCATATCCTTACGGCTTCGCCGCGACTTATATCTCTGTAAAGCCGCTCGACCGGATTACAAAGTGATACTACATAATCACGTCGCGGCCGAAAACAGGTACTCATTGACCAGCAGATGCTCTGCGCTCGCACCGAGGCCGTCCGTCAACGACACGTTGCCTCTTTAATTGAGGCACGCCCCGACATGACTCGCCGTACCGTGAAGATGGCGAAAGCTGATTTGATCCGCGAGGTCTCAGCCGTAAAAGAAAGCATAGGCTTCCTCATGTGCGAGGCTCGAGACGACGTGTTTGGGTACATCGTGTGCGAAGTCGGTAAACATGTTAAGCACGTCTACGGTCTTCAGGATCAACGAGCGCCTGAATCGCTCCCAGATACTGGTCGGGGCTGGAGTGTCAACTTCGCCACGAAAGTTTGTGGGTGCTGCGTGTTTAGTAACTGTGACTGCTGCACACTTAGTGTCTGCCTCTTTGGCGCGCGAGCTGCTTGACCTCTTTAGTCATGCTCGCTTGTCGTAAATGGGCCAAAACAAGGCGCGCCAGTAGCGACCCAAGCAGCAGCGAGCAGGTCAATCTGTACGAAACAGCAGCGCACTTCATTAGGATGCGACCGAAGGCATCCAGCCCTGTGCGGAACTATGTTACCCGCCTTGATGTGTGGAACTATGTTACCCACACAGGATGCGTACAGCGACTTCTTTATCAGTTATGGTCTGAGTGACCTTGCGTGGAACTCTGTTACTCACGTTCAGAGCACATAATGTCGGTCTCCTTAAGCAGCTTCGCTGCCTGTGGAACTTGTTACCCGCAATTTGAACCTATGTTGCCCACCTGGTGAATTACCTTCGGCACCCCACTGTGAAGTCTATCGCGCGCGCTTTCGGGTGGGTCGCGAAGGCAGACCACCAACCGGACAATTGAGTCCACGACGGTCGAGATCCGGTCGGTTTAGTCCTGGGCCGAACAAGTTCAACCGTTTGGGGGCGTCGGAGCGGAAGCGGGCCCTTTTTTTAAAACCACTTTTGGCGGGAAGGGTTCTCTCTGGGGGGGGCCTTCTCCACAGAGAACCACCCGGAAAAACGCGGGGGGGAAAACCTTTTTTTCAACCCCACGCAATAAACTTTTCTACCCAACACAGTAAGCATTGCCAATGCCTTCCTCTTCAGCTATAGTTTGGGCGACTGCGTGTTGTATTGTGTTACCCACACATGAAGCATGATCAATGCCTTCCTTTTAAATTAAGGTCTGGGTGACCGTGTCGATTTAAGTCATCCACCTGGTTAGCGCTAATAGGCATAACCCCTGTTGGAGCTCGTACGGTGCGACGACCTTCGGCGTTTAATGCTGCTGGTGTAGCAGGTCCACACGCCGGGCAAAAGGCTCATGCCCATGACATTGCCGCAGTGGAGCATGATCTTGTTGTACGCAGAGCTGTTGGCGCGCTGACAGCTCCGTGACGCTTCTGCGTCCTGGCGGTCTGTATTAGACGCCCAAGGAACGACGGAGGTGGGAACATGACTCACCAATAATTCGCCATAGAGCCGGACTGGCAGGCCCCTCCTAGCCTTGCCACACCAGCGTTTTTGGATATCTCTTATGCTGGGCACAGCGATGTTGTTCGAAGACTACTGGTACTTCCTTCACCGTACCAAAGGCTAGTCCACCAAGGACCAGCCCACGACCACCACTCTGGCGTAGCGTGCAGTCAGCTGTTGCTATGCCAAGCGACGTTCCGGCGGCGCATCAACGTCCCAGAACTCATCAACGCTCAAGGGGGTATCGTACCCGGTACACCCGAGAGGTACTACCGGGCCGACCATTCAGTGCCCTTTCACGGGTTTGAGAGGACCACGCCGTCTCTGGGCTGATGTTCCACTGGGCCTACCAGTCATACACACTCATCACCAAAGACTTAGGTGCTCTTTTAGTAAGACATAACCACCTGCTACTATGTGCCGAGGAGGTCCATCGTCAAGCTGGACCGTG